ATTTTAAAAGAAGGATTTGAGCGTTTTTTAGAGGGGAGTCCTGAAAAATCTTAAGAAGTTTTGATAAGTTCTTGAAGAAGTTCTGGAAGAAGCTTTTGGAGAAAATTTTAGGCACCACAAATTTATTTTTCTTTTGTACAAATTTATTTTTCTTTTGTTTATAGTTTTAATTTGAAAGTTAAAAGTGTTGTAAGAGAGAAGCGATTCAAACGAACTTCAAGAATTTGGTGGAGGATTTTAGATAAGTTTTTATCTTTGTTTTAAATTACTTTTAGTTTTAATTGAAACTTCTTGTTAGTTTGATAATGATTTCTACTTTAAAACTAAAGTGTGATTTTGTTTTCTCCATGGATTCTAAGTAGTTTTTTTTAGCTTTCTCCTTAAAATGATAAGTAATTAAAGTGTTGGATGGAAGTTGTGGAGAGTATTAATCTTTAATGTTGGAAGAAGTTGTGATGATTTAATTTCATGCACTTCATTTACTTCTTGATCTGGCCCATCAAGATATTAAATTTTTTTGTGAGAGCATGTAACAACTGGGCTGGTATTGTCTCAGTCAATAATTGGGAAAAATCACATGAGATTGTATGAATAAGAATAGTGTTCATATGATTGAGTGCAAAAAAATAGGGATATAATCTTTGAAGGGTGTAAACTTAAAGAGCTTTAGAGTGACAGACTAAAGCCCCCAACTTGGTTTATTGTTTTAGGTTTTGATGTGAGATGTTAGCCTCCAGGTGGAGAGAACCGAGGAACTCTAGAGTGAGAGCTAGTATCTTTCGTACCTAACTAGTCTTCAGAATTATTCAAACTTTAAAGTAACCAATGTTTTTTATAGCATCTCTATTAAGGGTAACGAATAATATTGCTCATATTTGGCACAATACAATTTGAATACTTCTACAATAGAATTCTTATACTTATTATTGATCCATGATAAGAAGAAAGATATTTCGTATTCAGTGTTTTTTTTTTTACAAGTTATCTTTATTAAGTTTTTATGTCATTTTCAAACATTAAAAATACCAAAAAGAGTTTGAATTTCATTCATGTGATAAAAATTATAGTTTAAGTATTTATCTTTTTAAAGTAGAAAGTTTGTTACTTTAATTATCGCATGCTGTGAACAATCCCTGTGAGTTCGATATTCGGGACTTAATCAAAAAGTCTTATATTACTTGATAATGATACATATACTTGCATAGTATCCCAATATATATTAAGTTAAAAAGTTAAATTCTTATTTTCTCCAGGATCAAGTTTTTGGTATTGTTGCAAAGTAAGAAAATATAAGTGAAAAATATAATCAAATAAATTATTATACTGTTACATATAAACAGTCGGGATCAATACCTGGATGGAAGGTTGATCAGAGTCCCCACCTAAATTCATACTAGTAGAAAATCAAGTCATATAGCAGGTAATTAGTCGCTCGTACCTCTAGCTCCACCTGTTTGAGAACGAAACTAATGTCATATGCATAAGTGTCACCCAACAAATCCACATTGAATGAATTTAGTATCGATCTCTCGGTCATCCTCACCAAATTGAGAACCGCCAACTCCTCTTTCTAGTCTAATAAGGTAGTCTCCCTATGGAGGTCAGCCACTCGAGCAAAGGAGTCCACCATGTTGTCCATGCAGCGAGCCAACAACCCATGAGAAATATGTTGATCAGCTCTCTCTCAAAATCCTCCAAAGCAAGTAGATAGTCATTTGCACCTCCACTCGAGGTCGGAGCAGAAGGTCCCACGGTCGCCTCTAGAGTGGATGGTTGGGCAAATTTTTTTGTCAAGGAATCGACGATATGCATCCCTCTATAACTAATTTATGGAGACACTTGTCAGTGAGTGGTAACACAAGAGCCTAGCTAACCTCGCTGACCAAAGGTAGGAGAATAACACCTTCACGCAGGTGAACATGGGTGTTAGCGGCTATCTTCTCTTGTAGCAGTGTCGATTTATGAGTCTACCTCTGAAGGATCAAATCTAGAGCAAGGACTGGTGCACTTGTGGTGTGCAGTTAGTACTACCCCCACTTCACTAAGTGTCAACTAGTCAGACGGCTCGGTCATCTCCATTACCCTTTATTTCTTCAGCACCGCCTACTTCACCAGCTTGGTCCCCTCTGGCAAAATCCCTTCTCCCAGTCTTTTTGAGCCGACCTGGCTCCTTTATCTTCCGTCCTCTTTCCAGCCAGTCGACTCTCATCTGCAGGCTTCTTCTTAGAGCATGAATGAGTACTCTTGGGCTACTTCATTTTCTCACGCAGAAGATGGCGGAGATTTTCAGCCGATAGCCCAAAGTTTTCTTATCGGTCTCCATTGTTGCTCTCCTTATTAAACTGATTTTAATGGGATAAAATCCAAAAATGATGACAAAAGAAATGGCCATGCCCTATTGATAGAGAAAGCGGACACCAAAATCCAGGGAGTTCAAATAGTATAAGTACTTATTACACAATAAATAAGTCAGTCTATGCATTTAATTCTCTTGTTGTTATCGGAGTTATCACTTTCAATATGTAAGAGAATCAATGAACTAAATATATACAACAAAAATATGATCACTTGTATCTTGAGGAAATTCAACAAGTCTCAATAAGAAGATACTGAAGGACGGCATCGGGATGGTGGAAAGATGGAGGCGTGAAGTGTCATTTCATTCAGTCAGAATCATGGGTTGACCAAAGAAAAGTATAGCCAAACAAAGGAACATCATTTACCTAAGCTAAGGGACAGTTTCGTGTAATCAACACCCTCAACTGATTATGAGATTTTTTACAATAATTGCTAATGATCATCCAATAAATCACATTTACAATCCTTTATGAAAATCTCTTGTCCGAAGGAGAGCTTCCCTTTAGATCATGATGATGTACCCTCTACCTAATGATTTAAGTTCACCCTAACGATAAGGTCTATTTAAGGGGTTCTCTCGAAAATGCCAACCAAAGATCTTCCAACCAACCGAAGACATTTTAGCAGACCGAATGATTATAAGACGACCAAATGCTAATATTAGTGGATCATTATTGCCTCACTTCGAACAGTTATAATTATGAAACATTGTCAATGGCGGTTATGAATATAAAAAGATCTCAGAATAAGTTATAAATATGTAAAAGTGTAACGGTGCATTAATCACTTGTAAAGTTCTTATTAAAACTGGGACAAAAATGTAATTTATGAGACACCACATATGATCTATAAATAGGGGGCTCATTTCTTTAAGAGAAAACTGTCAAATCCAATATCAGAGAATCAAAATTAGTGCATACTCTACTTCCTTTCTCTCTATTCCTCTCATCTGTCCAATGCATCGTTGCTTGGTTTTGATTATTAACATGAAATTTTTTAATTCAACATGTGTGTGTGTGCCCGCGCTCAACGATTGCGTACAAAAGAAGGTAAGAAAATCAACATGTTGGGGATAAGAGAAAAAACAATAATTACTAGTTACATTTAGGGCATGAGTCAAGCCGACCTGTGAGTCGGCTCGAGCTCGGCTTGATAAGTGGCTCGTGAATTGAGATCAATGCGCTAACAAGCAAAGCTAAAGCTATCGTGAACTAGCTCTTTCAAAAAAAATTTAAAATATTAATAAAAAATATACTCAAAATATATTAAGTTTGAAGACTTTATTTTTAAAGTATTAAAACTGTTAAAAAACTAATATTTTGACTTCAATATTAAGTGATTTCTTATTATTTTTGTCCTAATTACTCATTCTATTTGTCATTTTGTTATAACATTGACTTAAATTACTATCAAATTCTCTCTTTTATAATAAAAAAACCGGCTCATGAATCAGCTTAAATTCGTAGACTTAAGCTCGAGCTAGATAAAATTAATCATGCTCAAGCTCGATAAAATTAGTCATGCTCAAGCTCAAGCCTACAATACGTCGAGCTCATCTGGACCGTTTACACACCTGGTTGCATCCGAATGAGTGTAACTAACAAACAACAGAATTTTATAATACCTATTGTTCATTAACTAGCAAATAAATAGCTCCTCAATGGCGTTTTTACAGTTTCTCTTTCAAGACAAGTTAATATTTACAATAAAATTTACGGCAGATTTTATTAGAAATGCGCAGCATTAATGCCATTATCTGACTTTTCAGAAAGTGACAAAAAAAGAGGGTTAGAAATAATTTATCTCAAATTTATCACATGTTACCTGCAAATCAATAGTTAACAAAAGAAAAAAACCGAGATTCAATTAATTTAAGAATTTTAGCGGTCTGTTCCAGCAGCAGTTGCAAAAAACCAATATTTGATGACTTTCATGAGAAATGTTTTACAGAAGAATTTCTTTTTCGGGAAGATTTACACATACCACTTAATTATTGCATATCTACATATTTAACATCTAAACTTCAATTTTCACATTTATGCATCTTATAATTGAAAAGATTTATTTGACATGTTAAATATTAAGATACTTGTATTCTTAATGTGATTTGAAAATTAGGTGATATAAATTTAAGATTAGAGCTCAGGTGTTTGATACGTAAATACATAAATGCATGTATATGCTCCCCTTTTTATAATACTTCATCGGGATTCATGAGGAGCACTTTGCAATCAGTTTCCATTTCAGGCTTTAAACCATCAATAAATATACAACCATTTGAGTATGCTTACAGAACAAAAATTAGGTTTGCATTTAGATTGGTTTGTTAAATGAACAATTAAAACTGTTTGAATTTACGACTCAAATTCTAGTTAACGTCGAGTAAAAATGTTTGAAGTGGCAAAATCAAAACTTCGGATTTTTTTTTTTTTTAGATTTATGGTGATAGGGATGACGCCTCCCACCATATGGACCTTTATTATTGTTTCGCATATGAATTTGGGGTTTAATGAAATCATATTATGTGAGCCACTATTCTCCACTTATAAACCTCTTCTTTTCGGCATAATGAAATTTTCTACTTTGGCTGTGATTTTTCCAATTTAATGTTTTCCATGTAAATCCTTGGTACAAAAGCTAGAAAAGGCAATTTAAAATTAATAGGCACTTCATAAAATATTATAAATAATAAACAACTGGTTTCGTTCATTAACAGTAATTTGCTCAACTGCACTACAACTCCAGTTGGGAATCTCCAATATATTTAGTAATAAAAAAACTAGCAACATTTCAGCACATTCAAGATTCTATGTATATCTCTGCCTTCAAATTCTCACTATCGATGACTAAAGAAAATGAATGTCTAATCATATTCTTTTCACGCTATCACCAATTAGAACAACCATCCCTTCGCTCATTAGAGTGGTGAGGGCATTCTTCAGCTGCAGTCAGAAAAGCAACCGCTTATTTTTCGCTCGAAAATGGAAGCAAGCCGCGTAAAAGCATTCATTCCAGAAACTTAGAACTTACATCATGAAGTTGGATTTCCATGGAGCTTTGCTTCCTCAGCTCTTCCAGCAACTGCAGTTGTATCAAATTATATGTATTACACCAGCTAAAATAGCAACCTATGTATTTACATACGTAGCACACAAATTTTATATATTTACATCTCATAACAAAATTTTCATACTTACATACACAGCATTTTGGTGATTATATAATGTGATATTAATGATTTGAGTGTTATGCGTGTAAATATGAAAGTTTAGGTGTGAGATGCAAATATGTAAGAATTGTGCACTATGTAAATAACCCTTTTTCTACCAGAGGAAGACATAAATCACCTCAACTACTCGAGTTGGCGATACTCCGATTTGCATTCTGTCCATTATAAGGTTCCGGGTTGCAGCAGCCAGGTTCTCCCGTCTGATTCTTTCACTCGCAGAAATCCCAGTCATTATAAGATCCATGTCGATCGTACCTTTCACAAATATATGATGGTTAATTGTGTTTTAGCTTAATAAGATAAGTATCTGTAATTTTCAAATTTACATAATTCAACTACCTGTTGCATGATCAGTTGCTGACTGCTGCATTGCAACTTCCAGCAGCCTAAAAGCCTCGATCACATCCCATTTTTCGACCTGAAATTTTTGTATCAGTGAATCTACCAAAATGACTGAAAAACCAGATAACCCTAAGAGAACAGGCAGAAAATGTGGATGGGACTACCAATTCAGAGAATCGCATTCGAGCTAGAGCTTCGCTAAGACGAATTAAGCTCTCTATTTGCCTAGCTGTTGCTGTTATAACCTATGAAAACAACTCCTATTAGCAGATTTCGAATCAAAAGAACCCATTAAGATGAATATAATTGGTTATTTTCATACCTTCTTACTGCTTCCTGGAGAATTTCCTCTTTTCCTCAACTCAACATAACCACGGGTTAGTTCTTCAGCAGCTTCATCAGAGAGTATGGGATGGACATGCTTTCTTGCATAGCTAATATATGCAATAAGAGTAGAAAGATCCACAGCATCCTGCACTATATTCTGTCAAAAAATTAAATATTATTCAACTCCTTTGCATGGAATATCAAATTTGAAATATAATTCACTAAATAATCACCAAGCAGTTTAATTCCAGGCCCAATTTTTGGTTTGGCTAAAAACAAATCCAATTGAACCAAATATTTCTTATGAGAACAAACACATTGCATGGTGAATTCAAATTCCATTGTCACAATCAGCAAGTCATAAAGAATAGAATGAAAAAATTAAAGATAAGTTAAACTTTAAGCAAGTAAATGCTCGCCATTTTCCTCCAACATAAACATGCCGGGCCAAACACCATAGGTTCGCACATAAATACTTTCCTAAGTGAAATATTTGCAGACTTGATGAATTAAAGCCAGCAAGTGAAGATTCAGTTCTGCAAAAATATTGATTTCTTTTGTATTTTTGCTATAGGTGAATCTTCAATGTTATTTTATGTAAATTTTCCATAAATCTCTTGTTTTTGATCGAACTATTATCAAGGACTTGTTGCATAAAACATTTCAAATTCTTCAAACAAAGTAACATAATCAACCAATATGGAAATAATGTACAACTAGAAACCTCAGGGTCTTGAAAATGCAAAGCAACAATATGCTTTGCAAGCTGCCTATCTGTCTGTTCGTCAGCTTTGTCCAAAATTAGGTAAATCAAATCAAACCTGTAAATGAATGAGAATGTTGATTAGTGAAAACAAAAATCAGGTAGTCAAATAATTTAACTGTATGTTTATAGTAGTACACTTGCCTGGAGAGTAGGGTTGGAGGAAGGTGAATGTTCTCGATGACTGAAAGCCGAGGATTATAACGAGATCCACTAGGATTTGCACAAGCCAATACAGATGTCCTGGCATTCAAGGAAGCAATTATCCCAGCCTTTGCAATCGATACTGTTTGTTGTTCCATAACCTACACAAACAAAACTTGTGATTTTTATCTCGTTATTCCGTTAAAAATAACTTTCGCAAATCAAGGAATTAAATTTCCAAAATTTCTGAAGTCTGTCAATAAACAAAATTTCTTGGTACTTCTGTAACTCAACAAAATAAAATTTCTTCAACATGACACAAACCTCATGCAACATACTTCGTGCATTTTCCGACATCTTATCGAACTCGTCTATACAACAAACACCTTTGTCACTGAGGACAAGTGCTCCGCTCTCCAAAACCTTCACAAAAGGAGAAACAAAAAGTAGTTCATTATAAAATTCTACAATGGTATAAAGTAATAAATAGGTTGACGAAGAAATGCATCATACCGTTTCACCGGTTTCCGAGTCCTTCGTGACATATGCAGTTAAGCCAACAGCAGAGCTTCCTCTGCCGCTAGTATAAATGCCACGTGGAGACAATTTATGCATGTACTGAAGCAGCTGGGACTTGCTGGTTCCAGGATCTCCAACAAGTAGAATATTGATGTCTCCACGGAAGCTTGCTCCGGATGGTAGTTTAAGAGCATTACCACCAAAAAGCTGAAAAAGAATGAGATTATACATAGAATGACAACGTAATTAGATAAAATGTGTTGCATCAGAATAACAATATCAAGTAAGTTGGAGCCCACCTGACAGAGAAGGCCCTTTTTCACATCATCCAATTCCCATATATTTGGAGCTAGAGACCTTGTCAGCGTATCATAAATATCAGGTAGCTTTGAGAGCACTTTCAACTTATCGATCTGAAAGACAAACAGTGATTGATGACCAAATAGAAGAGCACACTATCAAAAGATCACATGAGGGAAGAACATTGATCTGAATGGAGACGCAAAGGAGGATTTGATGTGGGAGAACATTCACCTTATCTTGAAACTCTTGTGAAACCTCTGCAGTGTCAACCCCACTAGAATTATTACTGCATTCCATGGGATCGTCCACATGTAGCCTTGACTTGTCAGTCATCTTTAAGTGGAGACAATCAATGTATGTCTGCTAAGAATAGTTAGTAAATAATATAGTTCTTACAGAATTATGTGATGTAACAAGTTTTCATCATCCAAGGAACCACAAGAAGGAATATAACGACAGTGTTGCATACCTTGAAAATAGATTTAACAGTTCTCTGAGTTGGTCCCACTCTAACAGTCATAGCTCGATACACCCCAGTAATCTGTTACCAAAGTAAATCAAATAATTATGAAATAAAAGGATAAAATAGAAGAGAAGTGTCAAAATAGCCCCCTAACTTTTTTTAGTGGGACCTTTTAGTCCCAGAGTCTATAAAAATGTCAATTTAGTCAAACTTTTTTAATATAGGATGAAAGATTATTTCAACTCCAGTCTGAAGAGTATGAAGTTTAATTGGACACTTTTATAGATTCTCGGACTCAAAATGATCCCATGTAAACATTCAAGGGACTATTTTGACACTTTACTCATAAAATATTAAATCAACTCATGAGAACGTTGACGGCACTAGAAGAAAATCACAGAATAACGTTCAGCCAATATATGACCATTATGTTGTTTATTACCTCAACCCTGTCTCCAGGTTTCCCTAAATCCGCCAGTTTGTCATGCATAAGAATGCTGACTGTGTGCGGAGTTCCACCTTCAGGAATCTCATCTGGTGTCTCCTGCAACTTAACTATCTGCTTGTCTGCAAATCTAGTATTCCAGTCCCCAATTAAATTCTGAAAGTAGGCTCAACAAATGAAAGATGATAGAATTGTGAAATGGAATAACCTGCATCGATTATGGACCAATGCCATGGAGTTTGTGGCCAAACATTCCTGTCTTCCACACCTAGTTGGCTCATTAATTCGCCCTAGCAAGCAAATCAAGTGGTGGGAATAAATAAATAAATAAATAAATAAATATATATATATATATATATATATATATATATAAAGCATATAATAATGCTTAAGACATGATAATGTTTATGGTTTCTCATAATATATGTATATTGATTCAGTTAGGTCGATGATTGGGTGCGGTTTGTGTTCTTAATTTTAAGCCATTGTCAACTTAAATTCTTAGCTGATTTTTCATTCTCCATTGGAACCAACAATTCCATTATTAAGTTAGTCTACCAGTGAATATTGTTTTGTAAAATCCCCTTCCGTTATTCCACAAATTGCGCAGAATTGATTACAATAAATCATAAACTTTTTTAAATCTATATCATAGAAGAAAGTATGTTCTTTTGTTTTTATTTGCAATTTACAAACATAAATTTTTGATGAAAGAGCACGCCAATGACATAGTGAAATGCATATGCTAATTAAGTTTTTTGAGAAATTATAAGAGAAGCAGACCTCGATCCACCATAATGGGTTCAGAGAAGTGGCCACAAATCAGGCACCTAAAAATTGCCTCTTTGACCTCAGGTATGATAGAGCTGCATCGAATGATCATTCCCTTCACCGACACCATCTTCTCAATATCTAAACATATCAAACAGAAAAAGAAGAGAAAAAAATTGCAAATGAGGAAATAAATTAGTAAATTAAAAGAAGAAACGTGTAATAATGCAGATAGGGAAAAACAAAACAATCAAAGTAATATTACAATACCGGCAATAGAAACAACACCTTCACACGTCATTGATGAGTAAACAAAACTATTAGAAAATCCATACTATAACCTACGCTACAATCATATATAGTAGGAATCCTTTTAACTCGTTAACATGATATTACATTCTTATTCAGATATTTTCATTTAATGTATTTTCCTCATCATTATCTTGTGCTACCTACATATATAAAAATGCATGTATACCATAAAATACGTTCCATGAATCAATTTATCATATTTTGATATCAAAGCCAGATTACTTTTGATCATACTACATGATCTTTAGAGCCACACTGATCTTCTATGCAATATCCAAGCTCACACTAATCTTGTTCTCTATTAACAAATAAATCGCTTGCACTCCTTTCAAGCCGCTCATGACACCATGGCACTTTAAACTAGTTTTTCCTGCAAAAAATTCCCACCCATTTCAATAAGCTCTACTCTATTATCACCTCCGCTATGAGGTAATGACATGTTCACTGCCAATGAGCTACATCTCATCCTAAATCACCTCAGCGACTTCATCAATCACTTGAAACTTTACTCCTTCGTTGAGTCTAGCCACACATTGGTGCTGTCTTACTCAACTTCCTCCAACAAGATTTAGTTGTCCATCTCTAAATGATGATAATGTCGCACAGTACCATGCATGAACCCCAATCAAAACGACATGTCTTCAAAGCAACATTCTCTACTTCCTATAGGTCCTCGTTGTCTTCAATACTTTCTTGCTAGTTCAAACAAAAATCTACCATACCACACCTCCTCTCTTATATCTACAATATTGCATCTCCTCCCAAGCTCAAAAGCCCACAAATCTTTAATGCCGAAGGCCTCAAATCATTCTTTGCATGTTTGCTGTGTAACCTCTTATGAAGAATGAAAGTAGACTCTTAAATATTGAGGCAACTTTTGGACCGCAATTTTTTGCTCCCTGCCTTATTTTTTTCTCATTCTTTGTTGTTATGTGATTCCTAAATCACGTCTTTGCATTTTGGTGCTATGCTTTTGGGTTTTCAGTTTTTCTGCTTGCTGCAATTGGAGTCATTGGAATTCTCTGCCTGAATAGAGATTCTCCCAGACTTCTGTTATGGATCTGTTTCTTGCTGAAATTCTAGAAACTATAGACAGAAAACATGCCGCCACAAAAAAAATGTTCCAAGATCTAATCAAGAACTGGGAACTGGTTGTTGAAAACTTGCAACGTGAAATCACATGACTACAGAAGCGGCTTGCGGTCTTGGAGCAAGAAAATTCAGAAGATCAAACTATTGAACCAGGAGTTGATGCGGTGGAGGATGAAGAATGTGAGCCCCTTCCACAAGAATTTTCCAGTGATGAGGTGCAGACCATGTGTGCATGGAGGAGGGAAAGACGCTGCAAGGTTGCTAATTTTAGTTCATGATTTTAAAAGCCGACTAGATCAAAATGAATTTAATAGTTGGCTAACATTGTAGAGTGAATTCTTAAATTTAAAAAATAAAATCCCCAAGAACAAATTGTTAAGATTGTAGCAATTAAATTAAGGAAATATGTCCTTTGGTGGAAAAATGTGAAGAGAAAGTGGCAAAGAGAGGGTCGATAATCACTTGGAGCAAGATGAAGAAAGAGCTAAAACATAAATTCCTTCCATAACACTATTGACAAGAAGTGTTTATTCAGCTACACCACCTTGATGTGTATAATATGTGTGTATTATTTCTATATTATTTACCTTTATTTGTGTTATGTTTAAGTTTTATGTAGGTATTTAAGTGTTTATGCAATATAGAGGTGATAGGTGATAAAGACAACATGGGGAGCAATGAGCTAAGGTAGAGTTCCTACATCCTAAACTAGTGCCCTTGTGTCAGTTCTAGGTGTCTAGGTGCTTAAAGGAAGAGCCCCATGTGTCACAACATTAGTATTAGACGCCCAAGCGTCTGTCACAGTCATAAGAAGACATCGCCCAAATACCTGGCACACCTTCGACCCAACTAAACATTCACCACAATGTTGATTTCCACACTTAACACAGGGTTGTATAGTGCTACCGCCAGCCTGGCTAACACCTCCACCAGTGTATGACTTCATTTTCTTCCCACTAGACTCTCCTCCTGAATGAAATGTTGGTGTCACTTCTTACGAACTCTTCCTCTTGTGCATGTCTCTACGCTTCTGAGTCCGTTGGAAATCAATCTCCACTACCAGTGCCAGTTAAGCGTAGTTATATTTTTTTGCGATTTTGAGTCGGTTTGGGCTGCAAAACATATAAAAATCATTTGTTTTAAGGAGACCAGAGATATTTTTTGTTAGGAAAGAGGAGGGGGTTGCCTAGAGAGAACAAAGGTAGAAGTCATACAACAATTGGGAGAGCATTGAAGGAAGCGTCCTGGAGAGTGTTTGTGAGCGTGAGTATTGTTGCCTTGAGTAAGAGTGAGTGTTTCATGTTAATTTGATTCATTTTAAAAGAGGAGAATTCATAGAAAGCACTGTGCAAGCCCGCAATTTAGTGGATCAAGACTTGGAGAGTGTTCTTGTTATAAAAGTTATTAACTTTGATTTTGGAATAAAATCCATGTTTTGTTCATCTCTCAAGCTTAGGAACTAAACACTCTCTTCCTTGAATTGGCAATCTAAGCAATTAGAACTATCCAAGTCGTGTGATTATTGAATCTCGTAAAACAAGCCTTTTGCGCTAACTTTAATTATAAATTGTTTTAAAAGTTATAACAGATTTTGATCCAGTACTACGAAAGTAGGTTAGTGAAACGATTAGGTTAACATATGCAATTTTAGAAGAATAGGGATATGGATGGTAGAATAAGGTAATCACACAGAAAAATACAAAAACATGAGGGATTTTTTGCATGATTTAGGAAACGAAATAGTAATATGAAACCCCAAGATTTATTCTGACTTTAGAAAAGACTAAGAAATAGTGTTGTTCCTGATTGTCGAACACATTTGAATCATGAGGATAATTCTAGATTTCCGAAGTCTAATTCAAAGGAGTTTCTCTCACTTGATAGAAAGCCCTAATCATTCAATCAAATTTTACTTCTGCAGAATTAAGATTATACACTTTAAAATTCACAAAATTTCAACTTCGAGCTAGACTTAGGACTAGTAACTAGAACTTTCACCTTCTATGAAAATTAACAAGTTTCTAATGGGGCATAAAATAAAAAGTTACTTGAGCGATATATATACTTACGTAATTGATGTGTGCTTCACAACATTATAATATCAAATTTTTAGTTTTGTTGCAAGGAAAAACGTTAAATTCTATTTTAGGAGAATTTTATATGAACTTTACAAATTAGGTTTGAAAATCATAGTCAAATTATCTTTATGTATTATGTTTTGTATTTCTCAATATGCATGTTGTTATTCATATTGTTGAAAAATCCAAAAATACTTTGCCTTCTTTTTTTTTAGCATGCACGTTATTTACTTTAAGTGATTTTTTATTTATATATTATGTATCTTGCAAGTGCATTTTCTATTAGTTTAGGGTTAAGTACTTGTTAGTTGTAGGTGTGTATGTGTAGGACTGGAATTGTTAATTACTACCATTTGACCATGAAATTGAAAAAACATCTAAAAAATTAAAAAACTTACAAAACTTGAGAAGGAATGACTAAACTATTTTAGAAGGCTTATACACTTATTGAAGAAATGAGTACAAACATTTTTTAATGGTCCACCAAAAGAGCTAACCTTAAGAAGATAACAATGTTCACGATACAGATGTGCTAGCAATTATGACTTCACAAGTAGCAACTATATCCAGGAAGTTAAATAATTTAAGATTTAATCTAGTAAAATGATCCCTACCAAGTGACGAAGTTGCAGATGGACAACTAGGTGATCTTAGTATTGCTTCTTTGGAGCCATTAAATGTTACAACAAATAGACACAACAATCTTTATCCCAATATCCATAAGCCAAGTTGGAAGAATCACTCAAATTTTAACTAGAATAGTAATAACAATATGTAAAAAACCAGCAGTGGGGTAGCAACTAGCTTAGTTTTGTAGGAAATTGGAACAATCAGAGCAATAACAGCTCTAACTTACCCATCTAAATTCACTTTCAATCCTCAATTTAGGAAAAAGAAATTGTCTTTAGAAGAATTGATAATGAATATGAGAAATCAAATATAAAGTCAAACTACAATCATAAGGAAAATTGAAAATCAATTAGGGCAATTAACTAACTAATTGAGTCAAAGACCGCAAGGGAAGTTACCAAGTAATACATAGGTGAATTCAAAAGACCAAAATGTGAAGCAATGTAAAACCATTCGACTTATGAGTGGAAACGAACTTGAGGAGCCTAGAGTAGAAAAGCTTAGAGGAGAGAGTTGGAGTTTAAATCTATGTGACTGATTAAAAAAACATTCTCAACTCCGGAAAAACACATTCACCTCATAAGAAAGAGTAAGTGAGAACATTTTTTTTTCTCGAAGATTAATAAAAAAAATTAGATCAACAATTTATATGTTTTAAGAAGTCTAGAAGCTTGCCATTAACATATCATTTGCTAAAACTCTTGGACAGATGCCTAACTTTTTATTAACTTATCTCTATAGTTCTGCCCATTATTCACTCATAAGGTCTTGACTTCCTGCTTCCAATACTTTGATTTTCTTTGTTATTGTTTAGGGATGTTGTGAATGTTTATGTTTATGTTTATGTTCATGTTCATGTGACTTCATGTTTTATTTTCTTATGGACTACTGTTTCATGTAATAGGTATGTGATTTAGATGTAGTGATTCTGGCTGTCTATGATGTGTTTCTCTTTTTATTGAATATTAATATTTCTAATTTGCTATGTTCCTTTCCCTATAAACTTTATACTAAAGTAATAGTAGATAT